CCCTAGGACTAAGTTGTTCATAACTAGTCCTGTTTATTTCGATATAATGTTAGGTCTTGTTTAGGTTTTATGTCTGTCTTTGAATTTTGACTTTTAAAGTGATTTTATTCATTTTTAGTTTAGTCGAACTGATGATGGAGCTGGACTCCGAAACGTTTTCAATATCGATATGGTGAATTTTCTTGGCGTTTTCTTTGCTTTTAAATTCCTTGTGAACTTGCGATATAAGCAGACTAATGATATAAGTAATTATTTGGAACCTGATAATCGAACCAAAATATATATTATCAAGAGGTCTTGAATAAATTGATGTACCAATTGAACGCTCGTACTTAAACTTGGGAAATTATATTTTCATAGTGGAGGAGAGAAAAATATATCTTACGTCTTACTACGTTGTTATAAATTGTAAGATTAGTTTCGCATTTTTCTCATACTTTACTACAATGAAAATCCGAAAAAATTTTCATGAATATTAATTTTGAACTTCATATGAAAATATAACTCATCTATTCACATCGCAGGCACTCCTGATCCATGAAATTAATTCAAGTATTAACAGCTTTCAATCCGGGGTACTGGAATCAAGGAAATGAATAATATTTTACATTCAGTTCTTTAAGAAGCAGCTGCATTTCAATTATATCACTTACAGGGACACATAAATTACTATGAGCATAAGAACACCACAGCTGTGATCCTCATGTACAGACTTGAATGCCGGTGAGCGACAGAACATTATTGCTGACATCTTATGGTAAACTTCGCGTTACAATTGCATAATTAAGTAGCGCCGAAGCGCAACCTGAAATTCAGCACAGCAGCTGTCAACGTCTGAGGAACTCGAAATGATGACCGCGGCCCTGGTCCTGCTGCTGGTGCTCCTGCAGGGGCCCACGGCGCGGGCTGGCCTCAACGACACCGTGGCCTCCCTCATCCACGTGGGCCTCAACGACTTCGACACCGGCGTAGTGGTGAGCTAGTTTTTGCTTTATTCAATTAGTTTTTCTTTATTTTTAAAATAAATATTATTTGGTCATATTTAAACACTTTTCTTTACACTTTAGAAACAATTGAATATTTTTTCGGAGGCAGTGGATATAATGGCAATCCACAGGTTCAATGACTAGAATAGAAACGGTTATATTTGAACACTTTATTGTACGAACATCACATTAATCCTTAATACATGAGGAACGTAGAACTCAACTTTCATGAAACATTATATCGGACAATGATTAAACTTCCATTCACTGGGATAAATTTCACGTTCATAATTCTCCTATCCTATCCGCATCCTTCTTATCTCGATTCTAACGGTCACTAAAACGTTATTAAATATTCTATTTCTCACTAAGAATAAATTTACAATACGTACTGTAGGCCTACATATTTATTAAAATACTAATATTTGAACAATAAAGTGCCGCTGATATCAAGACTTCTATGCGGTACCAAAAGAAAAGGATTTAATGCCGGATTTGCGTCACATTTTAAAGTTATAAAATCTTCGTGACTAAGAATTTAATAAACTTGAAATGAATATTTTTGAAATAAACTATAACAATTGAAAATCGAACACTGCAAACGTGTTTTCAGTGACGTGTTTATTCCCAACGGGCTGCGAGGAATTTTTCCCGCATTATTTACATTTGTATTAATTTCGAGTAAGTAATTGCCAGTTATACTTTTCGGAAACATATAGTAATTCGAAAATGTATCAATAACTATATATAAAACATAAAGAACATTTCTGGAGGTGAAAATGTAACTAGAACTTACTAAATAAACTTATGTACTAAAAATTCTATTCTTGAATCTAGAAACACATTATGCTCGGAATCTCCATGAGCGCGCAACATTAAGCTTGTTGAGGTCAATGCGTTAGAACTTATAAAATAAACGCGATGTCACTACAGTTTAGTGCACGGCATAAGGATATGTTCTGGACTTTACTCCAGAAAAAAAACTGTTTTGACTGCAAATTATCTTGCAAATAAACTATAAATTTCGGGAAAGCTGAACTTTGGAAGGAAATTAAGAATAATATGAGTTAACTGAATGCCAACTGCACACATTGAGTGCCTCGCAACAGATGCAGAGATGCCAGCTGAACGCTCTGAGTTCTCTGACCTCAAAACATTTTTAACATTTGTCTTCACAAGATAAGTGAGCCTTATTATTATTTCAATCTTTTACGATTACGAAGAAACGTTTAAATATAATGGAACAACTATTCCTGTTGTGTTGGGTCATTCGAATATCCAAATAATAAATCGGGGTGTAAACCTGTCGTAACTTATTTCTTTTTCCGGAGTGAGAACAGAATTTACAAGCGTGTTTATGTTGTCCATTGAAACTGCTTCATCCGTCTCTGCAGTTTGCATAGCGCAGGATTGAAAATCCCATTCTTGTTGGCCTTGAAGTCAAATTTTAGGTTTTGCAGCCAGTCATTCAATGTTGGCCCTGTTTTTCTAACAATAAAATACAAATTTGCAAAGAAAATCTATCGAGAATTCATATACACGAATTCTCGATCATGTCAGTCATGTCTTCATGCCGAAAGACCGACATGACTGGTCTTACGAAGAGAGCATCGACATCATTGATCAAAGATCGCAATAACCTCATCTTAACTCCGTTCAAATTAATTTCAGATGAAAACTTATTCGTTTGTATTCGGTAATTTTTGTTCCAGTGTATAACGTAATTTTTAAGAGTAAGATGCATTTGAATTCACAAAGATTTTGCTATGACTTTAACTTAATGTTCGTAACGGGATGACTAAACCAAAAATCAATAGTAATCCGACCAAGCAAATTTGAAAAACTAATTTATTTGATGTGAAAGAAAACCATGCTTCGCTTTGAAAATCGTGTTACATTTTTTTTGTCTACATAATAAGTAGTAGACAATATCAAGTAGACATGGTAAGTAGACTAAGTGAGTAGACTAAGTGTTACTAATCCAAAAATCTTATTAGTAACACTTTATTTTAAGAAAAGTTCTCCAATCTGGTGCATTATACTACAGCGCCGATGTCTCCCTGTGCGGGTCTAAACCTCAGCGTCTCCGATTAATCCTATGAAATGGAACAAAGCTATAAAAGTATAAAATTAAATGATTGAAAGTACACCGAAATGAAGTGCAGATTAACTTGATAAGTGACCTCTTCTCTAATTTAGTGCGAATTTTGTTGACTAATTTTGCTTATTTCCCCTGAAGGTGCACAAGTATCCGGGAATGAGCGTCATCCGCTGCTCTGCCATTGCGATGACGATTCCAAACTTGACGTCGGTGTTTTGCATGACCAGCGAGAGGGAGTGTTGGGTGCCGGAGGTGTTCTTACCTGCAGGATACGACAACGCAGGAACCGGTCCTTCTCTCCACACCTGCTACACCACGGCAAAACCACTCTTTGATAAAGGTAAGTGGGGCGACAGCGCCATGATGTCATCGAAGACATGCAGCCACTCTTGCACTAAAGTACTATCACGATCAGAGTTACACTACAGAACAATTGCCTCTATAACTTTCCTTATATTGAATAGGTATTGCAATTCGGGGCTGTAAATGGCTTTCATGATCTCAGACTGAGCGCATAACGTATAAAGATTCAGTAAGGCAGTGCGATTGATGTCCTCAGCCGCGGCTCTGGCTGCTTGTAACAACAACCCGGTTGGTTGCTGTCCATGGCCCTTCGTAAGAATCACCAACGTGGGATGCGTCTTCACGAGCTCCTGGTTCTTCCCCATTCTACCGTACCCCATCGCACAGGCCTTCTGCAAGAGCTTGTGGCCTACAGGCGACCTGTACTCCAAACCCTCCGGCGTCATAAATTTCAACGCTCTGAACAACTACCTCGACTCGACGGGTGAGTTGCCTCGACATGAGGGTGAATGGTCTGGACATAAGGGTGAAAGGTCTCGACATGAGGGTGAATGGTCTCGACATGAGGGTGAATGGTCTTGTGAATGGTCTCGACATGAGTGTGAATGGTGTCGACATGAAGGGTGAATGGTCTCGACATGAGGGTGAATGGTCTCGACACAAGGGGTGAGTTGTCTCGACGTGAGGGGTGAATGGTTTCGACAAGAAGGGTGAGTTGTCTCGACACGACAGGTGAGTTCATGTGCGACTTGCACAAATTCTATAAATGCTTAGTGTAAAATGTATTAAATATTTATCAAATATTCAGCGGAATGCCTTACAGATCAAAAACACAAAGACCCCGACCTGTTGTGTTTACAATGCCACCTGAAGAACTCTCCTATTTAGCTTTACGATTGGATTTTGAAAAAAAGTGAGGTTGGAAAAGAATTGTTTGCTTATTGGAATCGGAGATGCATACAAGTATTTGGGTATGCTGTGCAATAAACTCGTGAAGCTTTTCTTCTTCTGAGTTAAGGACTGTGTCTAAGAAACCTGCACGCTCCTAGTGATATTTAAAATTATTCTTACTCCAGTAGAAGATTAGTCTCATTTTTTCTCTCACCAAAATTTACATTGCAATCATCTAAGGAATTAGCATTTTTAGTTCCTCTGCCAATTGACGTGTGGGTTGGGGCCACATCCAGCCCTGGGCTGCTCGACTACCGGTGGGTGGACGGCTCAACTGTGAGTTCCTCAAACTACGCCTCCTTCCCAGATATTCCTGCACAGCCTGACAAGAGAATTCCTTTATCACCCTTTGCGACCCCGGGCGTCGACTGCCTGCTGGTCATGCGCATCAGTCTTACTCATAAGCTCGGAGATGACTGGTGCTACAAACCTGCATATTACTTGTGTGAAATTAAATAAAATTTCGGCCCTGCGATGTCAAGCTAGGAACAACTCGCACATCTACAAATACTATGTGATTACTTTCGTGAGCAGAAACTTTTTTCAAGCTGGGTGAGCAACTCACGAACGTAGAAATAGTACCTGGTTTCCGTAGCGAGCAGAAACTTTTGAACCTTTGGCTACTCACCAAGCGGATTAGTAAAAAACGTTGTATTAATAAACATCATATTATATAGGTTTCTATTAGAGGCAGAAATTCATCGAGTGACATTTTTAAAACACTGTGCGCTACATTAAATTCTACAAAATTTCCATAATCAACATTATAGTGTTAAGTGTTCCATTGTGTGAAAAATGAATTCCTGAGTGTAAACCAATTAGGATGGCAATTCCAATGACTTCATACGCATTATTTTTATCTTTTCGATGTGATTTTGATCTATTAGCATAAGATTAGTTAAGGCGAATGTGGATTGTTTCTGTAGTACTTAGAAAGACGTCCTGTAATTAATTTGTACAAGCAAAGAATTTTGCACAAACAAGGGATTTTTTACAAGAAAAGAATTTTGCATAAGAAAAGTGTAGGAACTATAAGAGACGTGCAGTAAAACTTCGGTATTTGCTCAAGGTACAGCCCCCCACAAGCGAAATTAAGCGCACGTTAAAAAATTATAGGATTAGTGAAAATTCTTCGCATTTTTGTGCAGAAATTTTTTTTTGCTTCAACCTTTAAAAAACATATATTTATGTCTTTATACTTCAAAAAATATATATTTATGTCTTTATATTAACGAATGATCGACACATGTCTGAAAAGTACCTGGTTAACTTCCGTTCATATTCACCGCTTATATATATTACTTGTAATTCAGATGTGTGAATATTTCTTTTATATTTCCAGTGAAATATCATTTATTATAGAATAACTCATAAATATTCGGATGTATCAGCGAAAATAGAACTATGATGTCAATTCATGGCTGAAAATGTAAATCAAGATCACTGGATTTTCTGACCGAAGTCGGACCTTCTTTGTTGTTTAATTCGCTTAGCTAACAGTAAAGGATGAGCTTTCACGATGAGTTCAGTGTGTAGTGTGCTAGTCATTACCCTTGTGATGGTTCTTATGTCTATACCCATGCATCATACTGAAATTATAAATGCTTTGCAGGCAGTAAATCCAGTTTCATTTCAGTAGCGTCAATGCTCTATTGCTAAGACACTGTATAGCACAGCCTAGTTTCTAGAAAAACATCGAAATGTCTTATCCATGAAATCCGCAGAAAGATAGATGCTGCGTTCAATATATACTCGCCCCTACGATAGAAAGCGTGATTTAGCCGATGTCTGAAACTCTACTACGCCACTGCCAAATCTATCAATCAGAAACTAACACCTAGCAATTGAATTTGAAACTTTTGAATTGAATTGAATTTGAAACAAACGAGAGAGTAGAGCAGTTGTGCAGAATTGTTCTTTGTGACCACAATGCAGTTGAGTGTCGTTTATTCCACGCATCGTTTTTAAAATATATTACTGCATTTGAATGATGAATTTACTTATTCATTAAAAAAGAATATGATTAAAAATCATTCCCAAAGGTATTCTTTACAATATTCGTTTTAATCAAGAGTGATCATTACCGATTTGACGGACAATACTATATACGTTTTAGTGTTCTCAATATCCTATTTGAATCGAAAGTTTACAATGAATTTCCCAACATACGTGAAGGTAATGTGGGTGCATTCACAACATGAGTTTAAGAGTCGTGCATCGATTCAGAGAACGTCAAGACATTTTCTCATTATACACTTCCGGTGAGTGTAGAGTATTCGTACTCTTCTTTTTTCTTCCTTGAGCAGAAAGTACAAGTGCAAAATTTGGGTCACTTGAAACTATGTGCATAAACGAATAACTTCTCTCGTGTCCACATGTACGAGTATGATAGTTCTTCACTTACTCTATTAATTATTAGCGACAATGGAGCCATGGTCTACTTCATAATTAATGTTCACTCACCGAGCTCTTTGAGCGTATCCCACATAACAGCCTGAGGCTTAGTAACGTGGGCTTCGGGAGTTCTAACGGGAAGATTCTTCTAGGTCTAAGGGCTCCCTGAGATTATAAGGTTCTTTGCAAATTTATATGTGTTGCAAGGTTTAATTCATATAACGTTTTTATGGTTGCCTGCTACTTGAAGATTTTCAGCCCTGCCGAGAAGCCGCGGCACAGGAGCAACGGTGGGCGTCTCTGCCGAACGCTGCAGGTGCAAATACGTTTGTATTGCTCAGTTCAGCGTGTCACCCTGAAGGAAAAATCACCTTTTGTAACCTATAACATGGCCAAGACTTATTTTCTTGGTACTAAGGGATTACTGTAAGGAATTGGCTAAAATAATATTTGCTTCGTGAACATAAGCTAAAAGCTGTCTGGAAATTAAATCAATAGGTCCAATAAACTGGGAACAACTTTTCAAATTTATCGCTTATTATATGCAGCTTCAGAGTTGATTTACATATGCCGTGTTACAATGTTTTTCAACCTAGATCAAAAAAGTATTGTAACTTTCTAGCAGGATAGAAAATATTCAAAGCTCGTTTAATTACTTCCTCGTTTGTCACTTCACGGCACAGCTCAGTATTGGTGGCACGCCTTAGACTTATAATAGTTCAGAGTGCGTGTTATGCTTTAGCGTCTTTATTTATTCAATGTTTTAGAGACTGGTAATTATTCGTCCAAAGTTTATCGCAGCATGTAACTTTCCGCCTAGTTTAAAAGTCGAATTATTTTAGCCTCAACAGTAATAAGGTCTAATGTATCATTATTGAATGAGTTTTCCAATGATCGATTGTGCATAATGATAATGACTCGGTATACTCAATAAAAAGTACTTTGGTGTTAATATATCTAGATGTTTGGTATAATAATAATGAATTTCACTTTGTGTGGAACTTTTTAACGATATTTCAATTCAAACGGCAATAAACTATTGCAATAGCTTCTCAGCATTGTCGCTAGGTGCTCACGTCATCAAAAATTACTCGTCGAAATCCGTTGCCAGAGATGCGTAAACAATGAACAAGAAACAATATATTAACAAAAGCCTGGTACCTATTAAAATTCTGATATGCTACCTAAACAATATTTAAAATGTTATTCAATACTTACAGGCGGGTTGAAAATACACTCATAGAGACATGAATGAATATACAAAACAAATAAATATCAGAGCACTTTGTTCACCGATTCCAACATGCGCAAAGTGAGTTCAATGAATATTCAACGGATTTTATATCATGATCGAACCGAGCGTGGCGTTCTTCATGTGAATTTGTTAGCAATAAATACTTAATTTAATAAATTACTTAATTACTAACGACACTTCGGGTATGTTCGTGTGCACACAAAGCGAGCGCTAGAAGCCCTATAATCATCTCAGGTTGGGTCAAGTCGACTTGCAGAAAGTATTGAATTTTTCCTGTTTACATTTTCAACAGAGGTGGACGCTCATGAGTACGTTTAGACGTTCTAGTTTTAAAACTAACCAAACGAACGATGAATATTTAACGTATCGACCAACTTCTCTCGCATGCACAGATATTGCACTCTCACCAAACTCGATGTGAATGCGTGCTTAGAAAAATTACATGGAACGTCTGGCTGCAATTTATGCACCTAAAATTCTGTACCTATTTATCGTAGTGGAATCGACAAACTCATCGACAGAAAATGCATTTGAAATTAAAAAATGGGTATGAAATAAATAGAATTGATGTCCATGTGACAATAATCGGGAAATGAATTAGGGCAAACTTTACATGAAATAAGCGATGTCATACTTAACATATTATCTTTCCTTGAATTAAATAAGACAAAAAATAATGTGCAAGACAGTGGGTATAAATACGTTTTTTTAGAAATTATGGCAAACCTCTACTAGGATTTGTTAACCACGTTGACTCCGAAGTGGTACAGATGCGTACCACGAAGTGTATTTTTCCAGGACGTAGTGGTACATAATTCAGGGTTGCCAGATGGCCTAAAACGGCCATGTCCGAGAACAAAAAAGATCAAAAAAGCCCGATAACTCAATATATACTAGTATATTTGTAGCTTCCGGTGTAAAAATTCCATTTTATAAATTTAATAACGAAGTTCCCCTATCATAAATTTTTGTCGGCCATCATAATTGAAAAAAAGTATTGCGGAATTTATCCGGAAAAAATACCATCTGCCAACCCTGTTTCAAAATAGTACAAGATAAAGCAATCGAAGTGAACATGTTAAGTGCACTTATATTTATTATCATACCTAAAAATACATTTTCAAGGTATTTCTGACTGTACGTACCTTTGCATTAAAAAATATAACGTTAAGGTCGATAACATTTACATAACTATTCAGCTGCATGGAGAAAAGTCATTGAAAAAGTAGGTAATATTTACCCTCCATGTGATTTACGATGAAATATATTTAAAGCTAAACGATGGATGAATTTAGGAATCGAAATTTGGATATTTTCATAGCAAATTGAGGATTTGGCATGTTCTAGAAAGAACAATAGAAGTTATCAGTCGCTATTTGCCTAAAAAATAATTAGGCAACAAGATAATATAAATCAAAGATGCTCCGAAAAGTAGAAGTTCCCTAATGAATTTTCAGCTCTGCTGTGGCTATGTTTATAAAGGCTATGTTTAAGTTTAAGCTCTACTTAGGCTACACGACAGCATCCTGGCTACACGACAGCACCCTGGCTACACGACAGCACCCTGGCTACATGGCAGCACCCTGGCTACACGACAGCACCCTGGCTACACGACAGCACCCTGGCTACACGACAGCACCCGGGCTACACGACAGCACCATGGCTACACGACAGCACCCTGGCTACACGACAGCACCCTGGCTACACGACAGCACCCTGGCTACACGACAGGTCTTAGACCACACAGCAACACCCTGTTTTGCGGGGCATATTTAGGAAAATATCGATATCTTAGATAAATCCTGCATTAAATTTTATCAATTTGAATGGACAATAAATGGTGAAAAGGTTATACACATTCTTAAGCGGCAGACCATCAAGCTACGATTTGCCTAGACAAAAGTTAATTAAATACTGGCGTCAAAATCCGTAGACTTTAGCGTCGACGAGCGAATTGCGCACGGAGGAGCGCAGCCGTGCACCACCAATTTTGTGCACCAATAAGCCCTGAATCGAACGCCTTGGACCACTCCGGACCTACCTACACCAATCAGCCGTGCACCACTCGGCTTTGTCGTCTTCCGGCCTTGACCACCACCTGCCGTGCACCACCAGGCCGCGGATCGAATATGACTTCCAGGCATCGTTAAATTACGTAATTTTACGTCACCGCATGAGGTTAGGTTTCAGATAGCATAGTTCTGTTCCAAAATTTATCGTCCTTCGACAAGTGGCCAAGTGGCCGTTCGACCGAGGGTTAGTTCCACCCACGGCCTAGATACGGACGGCTTGAAGTGTTGAAGGCTACGTTCCGGAAGGCAGGTATCATGATGGTCCATTACATCCAGGGCAGTGGTGGTCTTCGGCAGGCGACCCGCGCACGGATATCACTAGGGGCGTCATTAGTAAAATTCGAGTAAAAAACTCAAGATGAAGACTACAGAACACTTGGATCAGTGAAGGAAACGCTATCATCGTTCATCAACTTTGAGATGGTTCTGGGTCTCGCGTTAGTAATCCAAATAAGTTTCAGAAACCCACTATCGATCGAGGTCTAAACAGATCAAACGAGATCTAACCGAAACTGCTCCCATTATTGTGGCGGCAAACACGAAAGAGCTATTGACCCCGAGATTGAAATCACTCGTAGTTCCTTGTTTTTTAGAACGTTTTTTGTCGTGAATTATTAATAAGATCCTGGCTAAACTTGAAGTGGACGCTTTTAACGCAGTCAGCCACCGCACAGGCCGAGCTATTTCCAAACGGATTTCTTCGCAAAGTTCTCTCGCTGTATCACCACTCAGATAAGATATAACGGGAATTCTGGATGCTATTTTGGCCATTTATTCTCCACTCGCCAAGCATTAAGTTAATATCGTATACTTTATATTACAATCTTCCTGCAAGCTTCCTAATTAAATAGTTATCATTTTTTGCCACGTTTCCGATCCAGTTCCACACTCGGCATTAAGTGTAAATAGCGACCCTCTAATATTACAATATATTCAAGTGTAATGGTTCTCTTGAAGCCGCAATTACAAATAGGGAATAAAAAACTAAGAGCAGAGTGAAGTCTAACACCTGAAGAGCTATTCAGTAGCCAGGGAAAAATTTTTAAACACCAATTAAAGGATGAATAAAAATTGTTTTAAGCCACTTAGTTTATTTCATGTACTCCGTAACATTAAATATGCCTCCGTGCACGACATGGAGCACTAGAGAACACGACATACACTCCCCATGCAGTCTCACTGCAGTAACGTCGCAGGCTCACGTGGAGCTCACACACAAAATGAATTTCGACTACAAATAAATAATGGGCAAATTTTGAAGGAGAAAATCCCCTTGTTATGAAATTCCTTAAATAGACGTTTTATATGAACAACTGTGAAATGTAAGCATAAGTTATCGAAAAATTTTTCTGATTTTGCACGGGCCCAACGTTACAAACACAAGGTTCCTTGCAGTCTAGTCTATCGTGTCTTCCAGAGCATCAACATTCACACTTGAAAAAGAAAGAAAGTTTTTGCCTCGTATCATTTTGCCAAAGCTTGAGGCACTAATCAAACGGCAAATATGATTAACCGACACCATTTCCTGCAGATCATTACCAAATAGTGGTAGGTATACAATCGACATCATTACAACTATGGAGAATAGGCACGGAACATATGTCCATAGGCCTAATGTTGTTAAAACTAAGTAGTCAATTACAGACGAGGAAACGACATTCTAGAACTAAAACCTTCCTTCAAGCTTGCACTTCCAGACTCGTTAATTTGGCACCAGAAATAAGAAACGACGCCTGCGATTTGATGTCATTACATATTCATGCATTGAAGGTTATAGCAACGAAGCTCCAGAAAATTTATTTGAAATGATTCAGCCAAGCCTGATTATTTGATAAATGAATCGGAAATAGCTCATTCTGTTCGATCTCAAGGCTACAGTTGATGGCAACAGAAGGAGTATTCAGCAGTCATATCAATAATCAGGGATCTTCGATTATTTATCTAATCCGTAAGTGGGAGAGCCAGTGACTTCTCGACAGGCGTCTGATGGAGAGTGAAATTGAAGTTCAAGATAATTACAACAATTCCTTCCTCGAAAGTTATTATAAAAAAGACCGGTTTGAGGCATTAATTCGAGTATATTCCATATTACACAAAGATAATGAAGATAAATACAAGAGACAAATGACACCAGCAGCGAAGTGGCGCAAAACCTATACTTAATATATACAGATTTTAATATTATGAAGCCAATGTCGCCTAGTGTTCACTGCGATGCAAACATGAAGAAAAGTCGTTCAAAAAGCGGCCACCAATGCAGGGAAAGAGCTGATGAAATATTAGTTGTATTCTGCCGTTAGAAAAACTTTTTGAATAGGTAATTTAACAGGTCAATGGAGAATTGAGCAGCACCCAAGACATGGGATAATGTTCAATACTAATTGATACTAAGAAAAACCATAGTCAACGGCAACTCCTGGGAACTAAAGCTTCAGTTTAATTGACCAGAAAAATTGAAAAAAATTTGCGGAATTTAAATGGAAGAATGAGGAACGAGCGAACTTTACAACATGGAAGTCTAATTACTAGAATAATGTACGCAACTAATAGCTTAGGAAGGATATAGACATGAATCTCGCGCTGAAGACGATATTTACGTATAGTAACTTTTAAAGCTAACACTTGTTTAGTTAACTAAGCAGGGACTCTAGGAATTAGACTTAATTAATATGGAGCAGGGATTTTCTAGGAAGAGCCTGGCGTTAGATTTACGCATGCATTCCGAACGTCCGAAATCATGACTCCAATTTCGTGGCATGAACGGACATTATATAATTAAGAGAGGGCACATAATAGACTATCGAGGGCTTCAGCTCCAATTATGTTCTAGACAATAAAACGGATAACTTTTGGGTTAATTAAGAAAGAAATATTCATGTTAAAATCACCGAAACGCCCAATGAGCTGTTCAAACGTTGAAATGTTCCAAAGAATAAATTACAATGAATAAAACTAAATCATTTGACTTGCGAATGAAAAGTAAGCAAAAAATGATTTTTTTTTCCAAAAATATACAATTATTAATTCATCATAAACTATACAATTTTCACGAGCTTTCAGAGATATACAGCATTATAAAAATTAGAGTCATAAACTCAGCAGGGCAATCTCGTAAGTGGGATACAATGCAACACCACATGTCGCAGCCGTCAGCATTTCGCACACGGTAGCATTATCCAACAGTTAGAGAAATATATTTTTAAGGATAATGAAAGTAAGATAAATAAAATTAGGAAAAAAAAACAAAGCAGCATCACAATTTACAACACAACGTTGCTGTAGAGGCTGAAGCATCACGGAGCTTGCCGACGGTCAACACTGGCACTGCTCATGTCGATAATAGGGACGAGCTTATGATGTTGTGAATGTTATTATACTGTGTTGTGAATTTAATGTTATATTGTTGTGCACCTCATTATATTATGTTTTCAATGTAAGGTTAGAATGCTGTGGACGTTATCGTATCATGGTGTGAATGTGGGATTACGATGTGGATGTTATGTTGTGTTGTGACAAATGTCAGAACGTTGCGGACGTTTTCGTATCATGTTTTGAATGAGGAATTACAATGTGGACGTTATGTTGTGCTGAGAATGTAATGTTAGAATTTTATGGTCGTTATCATGTCTTAATTGTAAAGTCAGCAAGTGGTGGACACGTGACGGTCAGTTCGATGCTTAGGATGGCTTGGCGGGAGAGCTGAGCCAGGAGTGACAGGACAGCGGCAGGAGCAGCTGCGACGTCAGTGTGTAGGAGGCAGGCCCACGGGGTGTCCTGCGACAAGGGTAGTGATACCAGCCATTAGTGCCATGTCATGGATTTCGATATCAAACAAATTAGTCTGGTGTCTTGATTAGTAATAATAATGTGCAGTTATGATACACAACATAAACCAGTCTACGATGATTCCCTGATATATGAACTAACGAGTTCAACAAATTACTTTTGAACTGTCGGGAATCCTTTCAAAGGATTCAGGCTCAACGGGCTACGAGTAAAATTTAACTTTCTTTACATTGTTCGAGCGTTTTATCAGATATTGTTTTTTTGACGCAACATTCTTTCTTCCATCCTACCTTACATCTCATCAACGCTCCAATGCAGTAGCTCTCAGCTTATGAGAAAATGACAAGCCCAGGTGACTACGATTAAGGTCTGCCAAAATATAAATTCATTTCGTCCTTGTAAAACCAGAATATTACTATCAAGGCATATTCATCGCATGATGGCAATCGAATCTCTTGGTTTTGAACCGCATGCGGTGTTTTATCAAGGGATCTCCTCATTCAGGACCAAAAACGCTCTTTAATTCTACCGGCATCGAAGCGTCGGCGTTACTCAGCGTTACAGGTGCCACTTACCTCGAACGAAGACAGCGCACGGGAGAGAAAGACAAGTGAACGTTCCTGCTGTTTATTATACAAACTTCAAGTCTTCGTAACAAAATATGCTAACACGTTCAGAACGGGATGTCACACAAGTCACTGTACACCTTAGTGACGTATTACTATACAAAATAGACTTTGGCGATTTTCTTAATGATAGGTGCGTTTAATATGTATACTTTGTGAAAATTTTCGGGTACAGAAATTTCAAGAATTCATAATTTTTCCGCGACTCATGGTCAGAACTCGAAATAAAGTAATGCATGGCGACCTTTTAATTTCCCGCACGAGAAAAACTTATATACGATAACATCATTGTATACGTTAAATGTAACGTTCGTAATTGAATTTATAGTTCCAAATGAAGCGAGTTATTAACACGTTGACTACGATTGCTTCATCTTGTACTATTATTTCATTTTTGTACTTTTTTTAAGCAGGGTTGCCAGACGGTCATTTTTTCCGGACAACTTACGTGATTTAGTTTTTCTGAATTGCGTTGACCGGCTAAAATTTATGATAGGGGTACTTCCTAATTAAATTTTAAATACTGCAAAAAGAAAATAAATGGAATTTTTATAGCGTAACCTACAAATAAACTAGTATACATTGAATTATCGGCCTTTTTGGCCTTTTTTGTTCCCGGATTTGGCCGATTTTAGGCAACCTGAATTACGTGTATGTACCACTACCTCCTGGAGAAATCCATTTCGTGGTACGCATATGTACCAATACGTAGTCAACGTGTCAACATATTTATGTACTAAGGCAACCTATTACACGAACCCTTTTCCATTCAACATCATACAATTGTTCAACTATTAAAATAATATTTAATAACAAAAAGTATTGAATACACGTCATGGATCTCTTCGAAAATGCATTATCATGTACAAACATAATTTAAATCCTGGGGATTAAGTAAGATAACGTGCAAATTCCATAACATCACACGGCAGCCTGGTGGGTCTACTGCTGAAAGCTCATGATTAAACCATTAAAAAATAATATTTAAATCGTAATGTAAACTGTGAGAAATTAACGATTCCGTAAGTCACTTCAACCACAAACAATTGGAAATCTCGTACTAGCCAAATTTTTTCGACACAACGACCCCGCATAGTACGTACGGTAGAATTTATGATCGTTCACATTGAAAAAAAAAACATGCTTGTGTTCCCTATATCAATGTGTTCAACATTCTATCTTAATTGATTGTAAACTAAACATGTATACACAACTTCAATAGGATAAATGATTCATGGAAGATATTCTTTATTAGGCATACAGAGCAAAAAATGTTGGAGCATATCTGTAATTTACTTATATTGGTTAAAAGGCTCGCAGTCTCACTTACACGCATCGTCGGCAAAATGGTCATGACACAGAAATCGAAACTCTTTTCCAGTATAAGAACTTTAACTCCTTGTTGTGTTTGAAAATCAATAGAAATTTCTGTAACGATGACTAAATGGAGTTAATTCCATGAATAATCATGTGTACACAAATATGGTGAACAACTTCACACAAGAGGTGAATGTGTATTCACCTCACACACAAAGGGAACAAGTGCGAACACACAGAGTGACCATTTGGCCATTGAACATATGAAACAGGCTTATTTAAAAATTGGATGGTTGAATTATGTCATAGACTCCGCTAGTAACTGGAATAAATGTAATGCTTCAATAAAACAAATTGGAATAATTAATATGAATCTTATTACCAGAACTTAAGTCTAATACCTTACGCATCGATAAGCAGCGTCATCAGCACCAGATTGAATAAAAAACACATGGTCAGAACTTCAGGGCGATATCATATACATATGAATCTAGTCCGCATCCTAACTTAAATTTTGAAATCCCCTCAGCACGAAACAGGATAAATACATGGCTTGCTATATGATGACAATAATAACTGAAGTGCACGTCACTCGTCTAGAAGACGTGGGTTCTCAGATCGCGACGAATGCACGATGAAGCCTCGCCGCCGTCAAGCAACTGCTCCCACGTCGAAAATAATCTACACAAAAAAATTAATTTTGCCTCTTTGACACCGGAATAAACAGCCACTTATAAATGTACCTCTAAGAATTCTTATATTTCAGATGGAGAAGTACTCGTACTTAGATATCTAGAGTATTAACGGCAACTCAAGCACCTCAGCTCCAACGCTGCTAATGCAACAAAAAATCGCTAGCGCAAAGACATATCTAACTTGTCACGACGCACGCAATGCCTGCGTTCAGCAGCTGCAGATTCTCCGAAGACTAAGTATTTTCAAGCTTAAACAAGAAAACATAACCTAGAGCATGTGTATTGAAATTATATTCAGAATGAAGTGAAAAGTCTTTTCCAACAGACTACGAGTATATACTACATGGTGATGAGTGATTAGCCGCAGGAACTTTTGTTTAGGTGCTGCAAATTAACTTCGTCATTGAACGCCACTTTTTTCAACAAAATCAAGCCAAGTGCAGATGATGTTGATAGAAAGTATTTTTTCGCCTGCCAAAAAGTTCACTAAATAATTTTTTTCTCAAATCGAGCACCCAATAACCCGGAAAACAACGTCGCCTCAAATTTCATTCTTTTCTTCGGCGGTTTTGAGTTACTAATGAGAGAACTACGAGGCATTTCTTAGCTATTCAATGACCGGCAGGGAACTTTTCTAAAAAAAACTTTTTCAAATGTTATTGAAGGTGGGCGATTTTCTGACGAGCCAAAGGAAGCTGATCATCTCAACTTCATTTAGAATTTTGTCCCTGCTTGATTCATGTCGGAATATCGCTAAAATGGTAAACAGGGACAAAATTCCGAAAGTTATGGCGGATGAGATGGTTTGTTTACCATTGCCAGTACAAACCACGAGCTATACAAGATATAACAGGTAAGGAGAAAATACTGTTTTATTAAAAAAACGGCCCTTGACATTCTGCACAGTCGTAATCAAGTTAGTTGTTGCTTTTATGACCACTGTAGCCTGATCGATGGAGATAAGAATTACGGTTCTGCAAGAGTTTCTTTAGTAAACAGGAAGTACACGATTAATAAGAACTACACAATATTTATAGTAATGAAACGCACAATATCTTACAAGAAGCGGGAATTTCAGCAGCTGCATGAATTATCTAATGCTTAGTTGAAGCATGTAACTGTAAGAGTTCGTTAGTGACTTTATTCACAACGCTAAAGCATGCGAGGAGGTCTCCTCGTAAATAACTCACATAATTTAGAAGCCGGTGACCTACAGCGATAGAAATAAATAGGGGTTGACCCTGATGGAACACCTAGAATTATTGGGTAAAAAAGAAATAAACAATTTCTGTGGAAGAAAATTCATGGGACGTTCCGGTTAATACTTGAGACACGATACAAAATTCATATATACATTTCTGATAAGTTTAGAAAGCCAAATTACAACATTGAATTTCACAATTTCTGTACAAGAATAACACAGAAGAATAATACTGAAATGGTTTTCCGAGCTAAATAATGAATACTTATATAAGTTACTTAAGAACGTTTTCAGTATAGATTCATAAATTCAGTTTGACATACATTGTGTGTTTGGAGAGACACTGACGTTTCAATGTTGAATGCGATTTCTCTAGCTGGTTAGATGAGTGAGCAATCAGACATGAATGTGAATGCAACCTCATGCTTTGTGGAAAATCAGCATCCGTGTGTTGATATGAATAAAGAATGTCGCTGTAGAATTCAAGGATGTATCGTGATAACAAGCATAGCCCAACCTTTAAAAGTCGGCCGTCAGTAACTATGATCATGTATAATTTATTCAAGCCTTGGTAGTCGACGAAACACAATCAACAAGCTTTTTCAGTAAGAAAGTTCAAGGATTGCGGATCGTTAGGCGAGCACTAAAAATTATATAACAGGCATTGACATCGGTGCAGGAACTGATGTGAATTAATACCCTTGCTTTGAATTGAATGATTAGCGTTACAATATAAGAAAATATCACAATTGAGCAAATTAGTACATAATTTTTTGACCTACATAATTTATTCACACTAGGAAGCAACACAAATAAAATAATATTTAACAGAGAAACATGGAAATGTTTCAGAATCATGTACATCAACTAAAATAATATCCATGAATCGTATATCACCCCATGTATCAGTCACTTAACTCACACAGCCACCTGATTCTAAGCAAGGAGTGTTAGACGAGGAAATTCAACTGAAATATTGAGAGAAGCGCGACTGCAGTAATGAGGTTCACAACAGGTTGATTAAACAACGAAGAGATTAGCAACGAACTCATTTTCGCCAAGATGGGTCAACTTGGCCTCAAAATACTTGGAAAGTGTCAAGATGGGTCAACTTGGCGTCAAAATACTTGGAAAGTGTCAAGATGGGTC